TATTGGAGTAGCGATTAGCGCACACAATAAAAAAAACAATATAAAATATAAATATGTGGCACTTAGCGCTCACAATCAATAAAAAACAATATAAAAATGTTGGCGATTCGCGCCTGGTAATATAAAAATGTATGAATGTTCGCGACGATTGCTTACGACAACGGGCGGAAGAAGACAAGAATATCACGGCGGCTGTATTAACAAAGCTCGCCTAGCCAGCGCGGCGGCGGCGTTAGAGATAATAAATATTATAATAATAATTGGCACATTGTTATATAATACACGGAACAGATAAAAATTAAACATAAATAACAATAATACAATTCACAGGTACTTGTGTGTGTGCGTGTGTGTCGGTCGGCGGTGAGGCTGCCTCACTGAGGCATATTATAATGGTACCTATATTAATATTGTACGTTCGCTCGAACAAGTAGTAGTAAAGTACGATTGAAAAATAACAAATATTGTGCATTATTTAAATGCATATTTTAGCCTCTATAATTATAATTTGAAAATCAAGCTTTAATTCAATAACCTTTAAATTGTTTTCTTCATTTAAATAAAACAATTTTAATGAATGAAACACCACTAATCAGGAGAGAGTTTTTCCTATAAGACTTGTATTTTCATACTTAACGTATTATCTATGTATCTACTATTTATTTTATTTTTTTATTTATTTGAATTATAAACCTCGACAACTATGGCSATTGGCAACAATGAGTTTAACTCTAAATTATTTACTTGTTATATATGTTACATATTAAATACTATTGATAAGGTTGGACTTAGTAATAAAGGTTAATATTTGTCTTATTTTATCTGGGTGGAGGGCTTCTGACAGGATGTTTGAGATGCCTCTACTATTTATTTATCTTTCAAGGTAAATGTATACACAGGCAGATTAAATAATATACCAATGCAGGTGCTCTCACGCAAAATGGATTAAACTTTAATTTTGCAAAAATTAAAATGATCTGATAAAGTCTATCTTATAGTTTATTATTGTCTACAGAGTTTCGTAGACAAACTAATTTCATTTAGACTCACTTCMAAGTACGTAGCTATCGGATCGGTATCGTTATCGCTATCGTCATCGTCATCTCCATCTTTTTCGTGATCGTTATTGACAGAATTGGTCGAAGATTTTTCGACACCACTGCTGGTCAATTCTTTGATTCTGTCCATCAGACACTGTGAGGTGAACTTGAAACGTGCGTTTTCCGTACGGGTCCGTTCTAAAACCACCTCATATACGCTACATTTTGTCAACATCCGATCGTAATATACCACCATCTGGTTGTGCAGAGACATATGATTATTTATTTTCTGTTCGGACCATTCTTGGAGCTTTAAMAATTCGGTATTCAACTCTTGCTGTTCGTTAAGGAGTACGTCTTCATTAGGAGTACGATTTATATTTGTACACATCTTGACTTGTTAAAAATGCCTGTTTCGTCAGAATTATTTTATTTATAATTATAATTATACCTTAATTATATTAATTCAACGTAGCCATACACATTTAATATATTAACACATATTTTTAACTGTTTAGGACATAATTAGATAAATTTTTTAATGATACAATGATATAGGTACCTGTAAATATCTATATTATAGTTTTTTTTCTATGGATGTTGAAAAAAAATRTTCCACAAATCTTTTTTCAAATTATTTTTTCGTAGATTGATTAAATATGTGTACTTAAAATCAGAATAAATTAATTTTAAGATATTATTTTGACTAATAAACCTTGTTATTTTGTATATGAATACTGTTGCTAAGTACAAGATATGTAAATATTTGTTACCTAATAATATGTAACTATATAATGTAAAAGTTATCGACTGATAGGTAACTAGGTAACTATTGATTGTATAATTATTATATATTTATATAGTACCTATATAAATTTATAAGTTTATACTTAACAACCAATAATTGCAAAACAAAATGCATTTTATAGGGTATAGCAAATATAATTTTGCCTCCCAACTCCCAAGCGTAAGACCTATGAATAAGAACATTGAAAACGTACTCTACATYATGTATCACAGTTATATATATCACCATAAACCAAAATATAATAACCCTACCCTCATCCAACCACAAACGACACCACTGTCAAAAACGAATTTCATCCGTTCTTAAATTTTCTGAAGCAAAATTGTATTTATATTTATAAGAAGCCGCCATTTATTTGTCTCGTTTACTTTTCATAAACATCGCCATCGTCAAATACTGATTATTTTTAATTAAAATGACCAACAACTCGAAAATAGAGTACTACTAGGGACTGTTCGTGTTGAATTGTACGGATACCAATTAATATAAATGATTACGTGCTTGCAATGAAGAAATGAGTCGCAAAAATCGAAAAGAAAATTAYATAATTTCAGTGGCGTATTTACGGGGGGAATATGAAGACGTAGATCTCCCTTTGTTACTTATTTATAATATTTTGATGTAGATGAYGGTAAGTGAATTACCTMCTCTCCTTAAGGAAATTAAATATTTGCTAACGTATATACGATTATGCCCCTTTGACAAAATCTTAGATACGTCACTTTATAATTTAATATATTTTTACACAATATTTAGGAGATCAGTTCAAACATTGTTTTCGTCGTTTTCGTACCCAAATATTATATTATATATACCTACGACTTCTACATAAACATTTCGTTTATACAGATCCGAAAAACGATATTCCCATTGACATTTTACCACTAAACACAGTGCACATCCATATACATATAATATAATATAGTATATAGCGCTCAGTTTCTATAAATCGTATGGGGAACAGTCATAATATTATAATATTTTATATTCAGCCGATTCGTCGGCATAAAGTTTTTATGCTTATCTTGGTTTTGCCTGTCAAGAATGAGAAAAATCTTATCCCTTGTATATATTTTTACGTGCAGGGTGGTACTTTTATTGTAAACCATTAAATATAAGCAGGCAATTTATCTTAGTAATTAAGATATGTTTTGATTTTTAAACATTTAGAAAAACACTGGTTAACATATTTCTACGATTGTCAGTATAACTATTTATRTCATTGTATTCCTCAGAATATAAAATAAATAAATCCTCGTATTCTAAAACATAATATATGTTCTACGATAAAAAAACACTCAATACTCATATAATGTACCTACACAATTTACATAATATAGGTTTTTATTACA